TTTACCAGTTATGCAAACTAAAAGTCAAATAGGAAGTATGCACAGCCTTGACATATGTGAAAATAAAATCCAACACACTTCTCGAGAAGAAGCCAGGCACATTTTTGAATTGCTTGAATAGGATTAAAGCAAACGGCCTATCCAGGGAAAACTAGATGTATCATTTAAAGGTGCCTACAGGGCTCAAGGATTAATTCATACCATCCAATATTTTGCTCAGCAAATTGACAACTTAGTCTTCTATAATCCACTTTGATACAATCCTAAGAGCTTTGGCTATTTATCCCATTTATTTAGTACTGAAAAGTTTTGTCTTTAGAAAACGTGCTAACTACTTTTACATGGGATAACTATAGGTGAAAAATTCTATTCCATCATACCACCAGAATCTTTTCTATGTGGTTCTCTATATGGTAAATTAATGTGATAGCGCCCCTGTTATGCCATTAAATTACCAGAAAGAGCTTCAGAAATTCTCTATAAGAAATCATAATGTTCTCTTATATTAATGTTTTAAAACCTTAATAGAATTTACTCTATTGATCGTTCTAGTTGCCCTGTGCTCTCTGGAACATTCTTGCCTTTACTGGAATAGACCTGTTCTCCCATGTCAAAGCACGAGACCATCCGCGGTAAGCATCTTTTAATACAGCGATATGACTCTCCTATTAAGCCTGAGTCTCTGTACGTGTGCTTGCCTGGGATTGTGTTTAATAGAAGAACTAAGCCGATGTCTACCTCGTCTTTTCCAAAGGTTGTTTCTCATCTGTCATGTATTATGCTTGAACACTCATTGGTAATGCAAACATGTTGTACCATGGGTTCCTGAATAAAGTGAGGGGCTCAGCAATGACAAGCAGTGGCTGACTCTGTAATCTCTTTCTCTTGGGCCAAAGTAAACGGATTCTTTGGGTGTAATCTCCGAGCAGATTTCAGTAGCTGCAAGATAGGATAAAAGTGGTAAGACAGTATTAAATCGGCAAGGCAGTATCCATTTGAAAGCTGAAGCCAATTCCAGTACCAAAAAAAAAGCCTGATAAAAAACGATAAAAACTGTTTTAAAAAGGTCTAAAACAGAACACGTCCAAAATAAGCTGAAGCCTAAACCTCTGCTTAAAAACAACAAGTGCATTGAAACAAACACTGTCATGACAGTTCCCAATCACTACTCACAGGGTAACGTATGTTGTCTATTTGTACATTTTGATGGATTTGTGAAGATAGTTCTGAAGGCTTTTTTGTACGCCCTGAGTAGCTGGAGATGTGGAGTGTAGGAGGTTGAAGTTTGTTAAGAAAGAAACTCACGGACCTGGCTTAGTCGTGGTGGCCCTGTCCTTGGTGCTGAACGGTATATCATGTACGATAGATGTTGCTTACCTGTCCGAATAGACCCATTTCCAGTTAGATCATTACATATCACAGGAATAAAAGACGTTTTACTGGTATTGTCATACCTACAAAGAGAAAAGAACAGTTAACCGAAGCAAAACATATTGTTTTTGCTACGTTTCTTAATCTTCTCCAGTGACCTCTGACCTGGCTGAACCAGACTGTCTCTCACCATGGTAACTGGTGTTGGGTCACATAATTTTGCAATTTTATAGCAGGAGGGATTTAGACTCCTGTCACCATATACTAGTATATGAATTTGTTTGAGTAAACATTGACAGGGCAAACCATATGCGAAGGTAAATAATATTCATTTGCTCTGCAAATGATACTTTTCTAGTTATAACAGTATGGCTGACAAACAAGACGTTTTACCGGTGATGTTGAACAGTGTGTGTGTTGTGCGGGGCCCGATGTCACAGTGCAAGCGTGGTTTATGGATGCATGACGGGCGTACACAGGTGACAGACGCCCGTGTCAGCCGATAACACGGGAGCTATGCCCAAGAGGTGAAGCGAAAAGCTTAATCACAGATGAACAACACCCCTGTAGATTTGTTCCCTCGCTTCAGGGCGAGAGATTCCGCTTCTTATCTCCCGGAGAAGATTTCGCGCTTAGTTTTCTATTCAACCTTTGAGTCAACGTTTCATTATGGAGAACAACTCTTCAGAACGGGACAGGTCTGTGATTGTTCCGAAATCGGAGAGCATGCCTGTCAAAACGGGACGATTTTGCCTAAAGGTTTCGTCAGAAAAATTGGCAGAGTGTAAGATGTGTATCAGCGGTAACGTTAATTCTAAATGTCAAATTTCTCTCCACACAGTGCCTCCCGAAACATCAACAATGGACCGCGGTTTGAGATCAGTGCCGGCGCAGTTTTATTTAAGTCTTTTTGGCCTCCGAGGCAAGATTTTCGGCTTTCACGAGCGAAGAAATTTACCGAGTTCAGATGCATCGGTAATGAAATGAGCCCTTGTCGGGGAAATCTCTCAGGATAGGCGGGGTAGCGATCTTACCCGCCCGCCCCGGGCCACGCTGCATTCTTCCCAGCAAAATGATGTGGAATTGTAAAAATAGATGCGGAAATTAAACATTTTTCTCGGTATGAATGATACACTCTTAAGGTTATCCTTAACTTTGTTGGCGCGACCTTTGTGCATTGTATATATCACAAGCACCGTGAACAACGTTGGGGAAAATGAGGATGTCAAAAGATACCATGGATCAAAGACCACTTATATTTTACCATTTGTGTCTGACTTTTGTATTAACCTTCACCTATTGTACTCTAGTAAAACGTGGCCGTACTCAGAAAACACAGACGCCTTGAATGCAAGGCCAGAGTAAGCAGTGTCGGGTGTAAAGTTTTGCCCCGTTTTGAAAAAAAAATATTAAGTTTTCTAGAAACCAAGTACAGCAACTGCAAGTGATTTTTCTTAGCCACTTTGATGAAGTACACAATTATAAAATATAATATTTTATAAAAATTTTAATTTGATATCGGTGTGAACGCAGACCACACTGACAACTATATACGTTCTCTTCTGTTTTCCCCACTACGTATTTTACCTGCTTAGCACGAAATGAAGAAAACAATTTAAAAAACAAGACTAGATCAAGGATACCGGTGCATAACAAAAGCAATGATGTAATAGTTATTATTTTTTTTATTTTATTTACACTGTTTACGAGCATATTAGATAGCAAGCAGAAATGTCCTTATAAAATCTTTTGTTCAAGTGTAGGTGTAACAGTGTGTAACAGTTTGTTTTCCAAAGATTGACGTATGTTTCGCTCCATGGATTCGTGTCGTTTGAAGAGCGGAAGCGCGGTTGACAATACCGCTACAGGTGGCCCCGTCCTTGGTGCTGAACGCTCTATCACTCACAATAGGTGTTGACGTCTCCTAGATCTGTTGGTATTGGTCCTGTCAGGATGTAGTCGTCACGCACGTTTACCCCCCGGAATACACGTTTATATTATTTCATAGCTGTTTATCTTGATATATAGAACGTTTATTATGGTGTTGACGTATTTTCTTGTTGTTTGTTTGTGTATTTGACTTAAGCATGAGTCACGTGTAATGTGGGTTAGGTTAGACTACAAAGCCATTGTATTTTTTTGCAAAACATATTTTCAAATACATGCTAGCAACAGTAGGTATCCCGTTCAGTATGGTATTAAACTAAACCCACCTCAAAATCTTCAAATTAGGCGATTTTTTTATTATTTTTAAAGCAAATTTCCTTGTCTAGGTATGCCATATAGAGAAGTATATTTCGCGACTTTAAAAAAGCCGGTTTTTACTCAAACTATGATCAACAGTAAACTTACAGTGCGCATTGTGCTTCCTTTACGGTTTCAGTCCAATAGCTTTCACCGTTGAAAACTTTGACAACTTGATCCGGATATCCATTCACTCGTATCCGTATTACGCACCTGTAGCGACATCTAGCGTGCATGTGTATTATTGCACGTGAAAGCAAATACTGTGCTGAATACCATTGCATCATAGAAACATAACGACTGCGTTCTTCATTGATTGTTCATTACATATTTATGTGCCTCTAGATTATCTAAGTTTATTTGGAAGCATAATATCCGATTTGTAGAGTCTAGAGTAAGACTAGACTATAACGTTACTTGTAGAAAATTAGGCCTACTTACATCAGTGCATGTACGCCCCCGTCTGACCAACTTTAGTACTGCAAGTGGGCTTTGTTGCCGCACGCGAGATAATTCTTGATGAGTGTCTACTGTGAAATAACTTTATCGTTTTCGCTATAATTACTAGGCTGTGACGTATGTGTAAGGCCATTTTGATTTGATAGTATGGATGAACCCCAAAACTGATGCGAGCGTGCGAAAAAAAATTGGCAAAAAAGTTTCCTTCATTATGAAATGAAATGAAATCTACGTGGTCATCAAGATTGAAGGAATGACTAAAAGACTCTTTTTTTTCAATTTCTTCACATTTTCTTCGTTTCCTGAATTGATTTCGACTTTCTATGACATTAATACCGTTTTCCAAAACTTTTTTTGCAACATACGACATATATTCGCTCATTTTGTACGATTTACAGTATGGTCGAAACGGACGAAAATTCATGCGCGCGTGGATGTCATCCATATAGTTAAATTAACATGGCCCTACCAGGCTGTGACGTTTGTGTAAATAGATATCACTCGGGTGGAGTTCCAAGGGTCACAGTGCGCCGTGCAACAGCTGACCACGGTAGCTTCGTAGGATGTCAACCTTTGTGTCCTGGAAATAAAGTCCACGGTATCTCAATTCCTGGTCTTAGTGAGATGTCGAGAGGAAACAGCATTGTCATGACTTTATGGTTTCATTCAAGGTGGAGCAATTTCACAGTCTATCTGTGGATAATTTTCCTTTGTATATCCCACAAAATGTACAACACAAATGAAATGTTGCCATAATCTACAAGGTCGAAGCTGATACTTTGCTTTGGTTGATCACCAAAAGAAACCCATCTGATAGCTTCGTAGCACTTTTAGTTTAGCGATACAAATTTGCTCAACAATGATACGAAGAGTTGATCCAGTTGTCTCGGTAGTATGATTTTATAGAACACCGTTCTATGTTCTAATGACGTTTCGAATTTTCGAACGCGAGGAATTTTGTAGTTCGAACGTCGAACGTAGCGGTTGTCTGACGTTCCGCTATCACCGTCTTTCAAAGTTATAAACACATACATACCAGCAGCGGATCGACAAAGTAAGGACAGACTGTCACAGACATGCCGAGAAGGGCTAGGGACCGTGCGGTGGAATCTTCACCTGAAGTCGGCCCAGAGGAAGAGAATACAGAGAAGTTTCCGGAGAAATTGTGGAGGTTAGCTAAAGACGCCAGGATCAAGTCCCTTCAGTGGGTGGGGAGTGGAGACGCTATACTTATCTACCAGAAGTCTTTTACACAGGTGGGTCAATATGTTGTCATGTTAGCAAGCACTTGTCAAAGTCAACAGTTTTCTTTAAAGTTCATCAACGTTGGTAGAAGTCATTATGAAACAGTTTAAACTGTAATTTCCAACACATTCTTTGACAAAGACTTGAGTTGTACAGCCAAAAATTTGGGTCCCTTGTGTTAGAAATTACAGTTTGAACTACTTCATATATCAGTTTGTCTAGTTTGCACACGTTCTTGTTTCTTTCATTACAGCTTGTGTATATTGTATTTGTGATTTGTTTATGTATTTGAATATGAACAAGAATTGATTTTGTGCATGCAGTGAAGTATGAATATTGTAGTAAATAGATACATAGCCACGTATACATGATAGAAACTTTGAAAACGGTTTTGCCTTGTCTCTCGACTACTAGTATTCTTAAGGATTGACCTAAATTTCAAACGGGGAATTTTGTTTCAGGAGTTACTGAACAAAAAGGAGTTCTTCAAGACTAAGAGTTTCGACTCGGTGGTGAGAAATCTCAATCTGTACGGCTTCAAGAAGGTACAGTTGGACTGCGTCCCCGAACAGAGCAACAAAAGATCACGGAAGCCATCTGGCGACAACCTGCTGTACTACAAGCACCCCGTAAGTAATATAATATCATCTTTGCGAAGGAAATAACACGTTTTTTGCTTGCTGGGAGGGTGGGGTGGTGTATTTGTTTCCGAGTGTACGCCTTGTGTAGCTGCAGATATGGAGTGTAGTAAGTTGAAGTTTATTAAGAAAGAAACTTGCGGACCTGGCTTAGTGGTGGTGGCCCTGTCCTTGGTGCTGAGCGGCATATCATGTACGGAGTGTGGTAAAATAAAGTAAATGAAATGTTTGTTCTGTTTCTCCAGTTCTTCCACCGTGACAAGCCCGACACCCTCCACCTCGTCCGCCGTCCCAGCTGCTCCAAGTCGGCGGTAGCAGAGCGCCGCCGCTGCCGCCTGGTGCAGGCCCTGACGGCGCTCCGGGCCAACCTTCCCGACGACGACGACAGACCGGATCTCGGGGAGCTCCTCAACACCATCGGCGGCGGCGATGCACCAACCAGTGGGCCTAAAACTCCCCTTACAAAGCCGGCAGGACGAAAACCTACCCCTCCGTCGTCTCCAGATGCTAGAAAAAAATCCGCCAGTAAGAAGAGACCCCGGGGAAGACTGCAGCAGTCTGAAGATGCTGCTGAAGAAGACCAAGGATCAGTCGCATGCATGCAGAAGATGACCATAACTCCCATAGACAACCCTAGCGCCACCTTGCGGAGTGAGAACGACCTTCAGGATGACGACATTTTGGAGATGGACGTGGATGCTGCTGACGTCGCCTCCTTCCCATCTCCTGGCCCAGAAACGGTTAGATCAACGCTTCCTGGGACAAGCGGTGGTTACAGACAAGACGCTGATGTAAACCACTACAACGCCACGCCGTACTTGGGAGACTCTGCGCTTCACCACAACGACCCGTTTGGCGGGAGCTACTACCCTCTCGGCGAGAGCGACTCCACCTGGTGCCACGGCGTGCCGCCACAGTGCTACGGAGACGACCACGCCGTGTCCTGTACCCTCCCCAACCGTCAGTGGGCATGGCAGGCCTACGGTGACCACCTCAGCGGCTACCCCTACGCCTGGCCGGCCCCGTACCACACTAACACCATGCCGTACGGCTGGAACAACGGATCAGACCAAGTCCCCGTGCCATGCGAGACGGGCAACAACCTAGAACAACACGTGCGACAAGACCCGGAGCCGTCTACTACCACCATCACAGCCCTCTCAACGGTGGACGTAGCTGCAATTGCTAGCCATGACTCGCCAGGCGGCGCTACTCCACAGGCGTCACCAACTATTACGTTAACTGTCTTGTAATTGGTAGTTCCGCTAGGGTAGGACGACGATCTGTAGTGTTCTTTCTTATAGAAACGATGCCAACATATGCGTCGAAATTTTCGTGATATGTTCAACATCGCTTTCTTTCTAGTTCAAGTTTGGTTTATTTCCTAAGAATGAAAGATTTGGAAACTAGTCGGCCATATAGTACTAATACTATCTAGTTTTCAAGAAGAAGAAAAAAGTTATGGTTTTAATTCAGCAATAAAGCAAAGATCTATAAAACAAACGATAGGGAAATCTCTCTTATCGATGAGAATATGTTAACGTACGACAGCTGTAGTCGAAAACGTATATGAGTCAAGTTGTTCACTCTGCTAAAATATATACCTGAAAAAAAGCTTTCTTCGTGAGGAGATTGAAATATACCACCCCTTGAGTCTCCATTGTTCTCGTCTGTATGAAACATTTGTGTGTTCTTAGTTGCATATGTATTACTATGTTTAGAGGGTAGGCATGTACTACGTTTAGAAAAAAATATGTCTTGTATAAGGGCTACTTTTTCTGGTTCCGTTATTTTGCCTATCATCTATATGTTTTAACCTTGTGCAATGTCCGCCACAGCCGCATGGTGGCACTGTCGACTGTAGCTTCGCTTTTCAAGTTTGTGACGTCATCGAGGTCACATATAATTGTGATATGTTTGGGAAGCTGCCTAAATCTGATAAACGTCATTGTTATGCAGAATCCAAACTTTTCACGAAATCAGTTATATTTTTTTTTACCAAAGATCCAAGATCCCTGCACCAGCTAAAGCTTTCTATAAATAAACACCACCGCTCCAATGTAACTTGTACACTTTGTGTATTCAGGCTGTAAGCAACAACAAAAAGGCTCCGGCCATGAGGCGTCGCCAAAAACCGTTTCCAACGACGTGAACATCAAGGTACATTTCAGATCAACCAGTCGATACAATCAATGTGCACAGGTCAAGTCTTTAAACATAGAACGTTACAATCGAAAAAGACGTTACCGATCAAAATTTAAATGGCGAATCTCACCCAACTTAGAGTACATTTGCTTGAGACTCCTATACCTTTACTTAAGTTCATTTATAAGTTTATATTTCCATAACATTAAAGTTATATTGTGTTTGCCATTTCATATGTACCACGGTTTCTTTCTTTGTGTTGACATCAAAATACTGTTGTAACGTCAGGACCTGTTTGTACGTTCAAATATCTGTAGACTTTATATAGATACCATACCTAAACCAGCATGAATGCATATCACGTTATTAATAACAACATCATTTTTACTATACCATCAACTACGACAAAAATAGATTGTGTATATAGCTCTGAGCTCTTCATATCTCTTAGCATCTCTTGCCATTTTTCCTCAGTATGTTTGAACTTTCACAATATACGTTGTCTGAAGTCCGCATTTATTTTCACTTCCTGTGTACAATTGTCTTTTTCGAAAGTTGCAGTACTGCAGATAGTTGATAGGTGGCACTTCAACGTCATAGAACAGAGTAAGATTTCTGCCCTAGGTTTACGAATGGTCCCACAAAGAAACTGTAATCAAGCTAGAATCACCTTCCATTATCATAGGTATGTAAGAATATTCCAGCAGTTATAGGCATGTTTTGATAGACAATAGTTATAGGTTGGACTGCTTTAACTATTAAACTTAGACCTGGCACTTCTTCTGTATTCTGATTGTTAAGAGTCTTCTATTCCAAGCTTGAGGGATTTGTGAAAGATTGGTGTTTGAATCACTAAAATTAAGGTGTTACTTCAGCCATTTTTGTACCTAACATTCAAGACCAGTCTTTAAGTTTATAATCCTTTCTCAATATGTTTTCTCTTGTGTATAGGATTCTCACAATGCTCTTGCCTCTACTCCTTTTTAATCTGACTTGTTGTGTTGACACCAATGCAGCACTACGGAATATCGTTCAAATGATCATTGCCGATGTTCTTATACTTCCTTCTCAAATTTAAAAGCATCCTAGCAACATGACAAAAAATGCCAAATTTTCAAGTGCTGAAAAAGAGATATGTTGTACTTTAAACGTATCGTTCAACCACCATACTTCCCTCATCTTCATCGACATTTCAATCAAATAACCCCAATACTTTAAAAAGTCAATTCCGTGAATTGCTTGTCAAATGTTAAACACTGCACTTAGCATAAATTTCAAGAAACAGCAAGGCATATGAACAACGCATCATGAAAATACAGGACTTACGGACGCACTGAACTTTACCATGAAGTAATAGAAGTAGCAATTAACTGTTATATGTTAATTTCGCAAATCCCAGCGTCGATACGACTAGCGTGTACCACACACAATGCCTGTTAACATCTCTTGAGTTACGAGAGTAACGCACGCCACCTCGCGATCCACTTCGAAACTACACAAAGCTCAAAGGAACGTTTTGTTGTTCCCTGTAGTGGTAGTCAACCCATCACAAGCCAGTAGCGGTAGACAGAGAGACTAGGGACAGTGCTAGACAGTGCTGACGGTTAGGCATAGGGTGTCTGGTGTTTGGCAAACGAGACTCGCTGTTGTCTGCGGTTGTTCGGATAGAAGCGCCCTCGTGCGGATCCTCCGCGCTATGACCCCACTATGAACTCCATCACGCACTTGTAGCTACACTCTGGCACTGTCGTTTCCTGCAACGTAGAATCATAACTTCAATTAGAAATGTAACATTTGCAAAGCAAGTGCATAATGTTTACTCTCACATGGTCTAGCCTAACAAAGTACTTCTCTGTTTGTTCTTTCTCAAACACATTCATTTGTATTTGGTGGCCAGCCCCTCTACCCAGCTCTGTCTTGCAACTTGCTACATGCATGATATAATCCAACACCACAGGATGTCTGCTACAGCACCGATTACCATGGTGAAGGCCGCCTGGTCTAGGTCATTGACCTTATTGGGGACAAAAGAAGGGGAATGTTGTCCTTCTGCGAAGGTCATCAAATTAACGACATCGGGCTCTACGAATCATCCCCAATTAGAGACGGAGGACACCACAAACTATTTTCTGTATTTGAACTCACATGTCTCGTCGGGAGGGGGACAGTTAAGTTAAAGTTAAAGAGCCTTCTCCGTTTTCAATAGCCATGGGCAACACAGCACACAACATTACAGTAGGGGGCTAGTCCACTGGTAGTCGTGTGCGTGTGTGTTTAACTCCAATACTCTTTCCCATGGCCAAATGCTGAGTGCTAAGCAGAGAAAGCAGTATATGTACCAATTTTAAAATCTTTGGTATGACTCGGGCGGGGATCGAACTCACGACCTACCTAATGCAAGGCGAGCATTCTACCCACTTGCCTTGGCCATTGCACCGGTTATAGTTATCGACTTCCTGGAACATGTAATATTTTACCTGATAAGCGCGTTTGAGTCGAGCGGCCAGGTGGAGAGCCTCTCCCTTCATCTTACACATGTCGTCCACGTCCTGACCTTCGACCTCTGCCAGCATGTCGCACACCTCGGCCAGGTCGTACTTCATGGCGCGGTCACAGGTGGACGACGAGATACCGTGCGCGGAACCCTGGAGACATTAACGTTAACGTTAGAGATATAACTACAGAAGTAACATTTGCAAAGCAAATACACAATGTTTACCTTCGGACATGGTCTGCTCTGTTAATTCTAACCCAAACACATTCACATACATTTGCTACTAGTATATGGTGACAGGAGCAGAGCAGACCATGAAATTGCAACATTATGCAACCCAACACCAGTCACCATGGTGACAGACGTCAACAAATCATGTCATTGGTCAGGTCAGAGGTTAGTGTTTGGAGCAGAAGAGGAAGAAGAAACTGAGTAAAAACAATATATTTTCCTTCGGTAAACATAATGAGAAACTAGAAACTTTGGAAACATTTGCAAACCATGCATAATGTTAACCTTCGCTTTACCTAGGGTCTGCTCTGTTAATTCTTACTCAAACACATTCATATATATGGTGACAAGAGTACAAATCCCTCATGCTATAAAATTGCAACATGATGTAGTCTAACACTAGTTACCATGGTGACAGGTGACAGAGGTCTAGTTCAGGTCGTTGACCTTATTTGTTTGGAGAAGAAGAGGAAGAAGAAACAGAGCAAAATAATATGTTTTCCTTCTGCGGAGGTAAAAATAAAAAGTTGAAGTTGTTGCTCGTGTACGTGTACTCACACACTGATAGCAGGCCTCGTGTCTGTTACACACGGCGGTGAAGTACTCCTTGTACGGCCCGGAGGAGAGAGGACTCCCGCTTTCTATCAGGTGACAGTCCGACACGTTCACTGGACAGAGTGGAGGGGACACTGGAACGATATCAGAAAAAATCGTGCATTAATATTCTTTGAAAAGACCAACAGCTGTGGAGACTGTTCCAAGATGGGGGTGTCGCTTTGTAATGCTGTATTACCTATGAAAACTGCTAAGATGTAAAGAATAACTAACTATCATACTAGCAAACGACATACCCACCTACATACATACAAATGCAGCAAACTGATCGTACGTGAGTTATAGCCGAGAACTCACATAAAAGACTAACCACAGTGCGCCTTCCCGTAGTAACAAGAAATCGAAGATTTCATAATTTTGGGAGGTATTGGAGATTTTTTATTTATTTTCGGCTTCCTAAACTCCTTTTTGAGTGATAGAGTGAGTGAGTGAGTGAGTGAGTGACGTAGATGTACCTGCTTCAGTCGCTTTGAGAAGATCCTCCACCTTGTCCAGAAAGGCCTCCACTCGGTCCTCGTCCAGGGCTAGGTCTTCCGCTTCGGGGCTCCTCGGCTCGTCTTCGGCTGTTTCTGGAGGGATGTCGGGGTAGTCGTCGGGATAGTCCTCTACCACATCGGCTGCCATTAGACATGATACAACATCATACGATAAGAAAGAATCCAGATGGAAGACAGCAATGGTTGTACAGCTACAGTTGTTACTCAGTAATTGTACAAGAACGTTTTTGTGTTCTCTATGTATACTATACGCCTTTATCGTTTTTGATGTTGTTTTGATCAATTTGTAGATGTACTTGTCCTCTGATTTTTTTTCAGTGCCATACTCTGTATTTGTGAGTTTGATTTAAAATAAAACCTCTGAGCTGTTGTGAATTTCTTGTTATATTTTTTTGTAATTTTTCGCAGATTCTGTACATATTGCGCTGTCGTCTGCGAGGAGACTGTTTGACCTTCAATTTGACCTTCTTGTCAGTCTTTGGTTACACAACTCCCGTCACTTCCTGTAACTTCAGTGTATTTGAATAACTACAGCTACTTCTAGCGCCTTTTCCCTCCCCAACCGACGTCAGCTACCCATTTTACACCTATTGGTGTGGGAAAAGTCGTGTTAAGTGCCTTTCCCAACTACTCAGCGTCTTGTCAGGGATGACAGGAATCGAACCCGCGACCTCTTGGTCTCGTATCCGCTCACCTAGCCACACGACGCCACAAACTTCCGTACACGGCTTTACAAACGCGGCTAATGCATTCCCCTGGTAGACTCTACTCAATCATCTATATCTGGTGCATCGTGCAGTCTCAACTAACTCGACAGTATTCCCAGTCAACTCGCACGTCTGTGTGGGGGAGGAGTGGGCAGACAGAAAGATGGCCCAGATATCAGTGTGTGACTCAACAAGTAATTACGTTTTAAAATCCCATTACATTTTCCCAATATGATGTCGCCATGTGGGCATGGGAATACGCGCCGGATGGCCTTCTGAGAAAAATATGTCTACATGGTACATCATGCAAGTTGGTCACATCTTCAGGAGGTATATGACGTCAATGTGGAGCTAAACGAAACACTGTGACTATCACATGGTCTTGTTTAATACAATTCTGATGATTATAGGTAGAAGAATAGCGGCTACTATATCAGGCCACGTACTCCAATTTAATTTTTTGGTTCTCGGATTTTTTTCGGAACATTATGAAGTGACGGCGAAAAATGAAAATAAAAACAGGTCTAGACATTCTATTATAGCCCCAAATGCTACGATAGGAGCCATGGAGACAACACAAAAGGCTGGGTTAGTATTTAAACAATGAATTTTGAACTTTTGATCAAACCACTGCTCTGATAGATGAAAAAACTGTAACAACGTTAACTATGAATAAAAGGAATTTCCTCAACTGTTGGGGGCAATAAGAGCATATTCGAGTTGATTTAGAACCAGAATCTTTTTTTTTTGCAAATCAGAAAAATGAAGAGGCGAATCCGAGAACCACCAACAAATTAAATTAGTGCGGCCCTAAGGCGGCGAAAATTGATTGCTTTTTCGTGCTGAAGTTGACAAAATCGATTTCTGAACGGAATGGTATCATCCTCACTGACGTCATGTCCGGTATTGTCATGGGACTATTATACGTCCTGACGTCATCAGGTGGGTGGTGCGCCTTTCAAGGGCTCTCCAAATGGGCTTTAATATTTAATGTTTAGGTATCAATTCTCATAGAGACTGTAGCGTGATGGTAAGCCTTTCCATGCCTCTGTGGTCATAACGATAACCCCGACCTTCATACACCATACTGCCTTCTGATCGATCAGTGTGCTAAAATTCAAACCTACCAGGAGTTTTCTTTTGTATACTTGTTTGATTCTTTTATATGATTTATTACTCCTATGTTCAATTATAACTACTCAATGTTATATCATTCTTTTAAAAGTCTGGATTATTTGGAATTTGACCTCTGACCATCTTAAAAACCACTCACCGATTATCTTTGTACTGTATTATGATTTTGGTTTGATTTATTTTTATTCCTGTGCTTAATCAATATTTTATGTTGTCAGGGGTCTCCCCAGGAATTTTTAGGGGAGTGGTGCTGGAATTTTTTTGGAGGGCACGTAGTGCCCGACGCCGCGCGAAGCGCGGCTGTGAGGGGGGGGAGAGGTCCGGAGAGGGGGGGGGA